TTATTATTATTATTATTATTATTATTATGATATAATAAGTGAATATAATGCTGAACTGATTGCAGATTGTAATGATAAGTTATACGCAGTTGATAGTGATCATAAAATTCATTTGTCAATTTGGATTCTTCCCGTGGAACGTGACGAGTACAACGATCAAATTAGCCAATTCACCGAAGTTCTTACCGGGCATTCTCGGCATTCGCAAGGAGGAGTTTTATGCATTCTGGGACATTGTTCTGCTTGTTGGTGTGTTCTTAACGTTTTTATTACTGTGATATATATATATATATATATATGTTGTAATAGCAATAATAGTAATAGTAGTATATGATTTTGAGCAATATTGTATTAAATATGATATGTAATACTATTAATGTGGATATATGATATAAATAATAAATATAAATGTAATAATGAAATGATTTTGAGCATTATTCTTCCATCGTTATATGCTACGCAAAATGGGTTTATGGGACAATGCGTCTAGTGTGCCAGATACATTCTTCGAGCAAGTTAGCATTGAGAGTAGCACGGCGATTAAGGATAGTGAGCAGGTGAGTATTATTATTTATTGTTTGTTAGTATTATTATTACTACTACTGTTATTTTGCAGGATGAGAATGGTGCGCAGCGCGGACAGGTGGCAATAGTGAATAATAGTGGGACTGGAAATGGTATGGGCACTGAAGGTAGCGTAATAGTAATTGGATAAAGTAATTGGATAAGAGTGAAAATTTAAGGTGAAGTGAAAGAGGGTGGTGCATCGAAAAAACGAGGCTTTCTCTCCGAGTTATTCTATCGTCTATTCCACCCGAAGTATCGCTACATAAGGGATTTGTATCCGTTCATGTTCTTGGTGGATGTTCTGTGCTTTTTTGTGGTTTCGTTTGGATACTCGTCATTTGGATATGGCGGCAGCGGGAGTGTGGTGAAGGATATCAGTGTGAGTTAGTCAGTTTTGAGTGTTCTTTTTATTGCTATAATGTTGCGAGAATTGCAGTCGAATCGTGTGCCGATCACATTCGTGGTCATGTTGATTGTCATCTCAGTGATGATCGTCATCGATCGTGCTCTCTACCTTCGAAAAGCGGTGCTCTGCAAACTGATCTATCAGTTCATCACGATCATATTCCTGCACGTGTGGATCTTCTTTGTGCTGCCCACGATCACCTATCAAGCGGCCTGGTTGAACAAGACGGCACAGTTTTTGTACTTTGTCAAGTGTGTCTATCTGCTGATCAGTGCATGGCAAATTCGAAACGGTTACCCGTCGTTGTGTATCGGCAATCTGATCACACACGCCTACGGACTGGCCAATATGGTGTTCTTCAAGGCGTTCATGGCCATTCCGTTCCTGTTCGAAGTGCGCACGGCGATCGATTGGACATGGATTGATACGTCGATGCCGTTGTTCGACTTCTTCAACATGGAGAACTTCTACGCGACCATCTACAATCTGAAATGCGCAAGAACATTCGAGCAGAACTTCCCGGCACCACGTGGTGTGGCCAAGGGAGTGGTGGTCAAATATCTGATGGGCATACCGATGATATTGATACTGATTTTGGTCATTTGGCTACCGTTGTTGGCGTTCTCGTTGTTGAATCGAATCGGACTCTCGCTTATACCCGACAATGTGCAGATGACGATCAGCGTTGAGGGATATCCGGTTTGTTATCGTTTGCTGTGTATGACTGCTGATTGATAATGGTGAAATGCAAGCAAATAAAAATTTCAGCCACTTTATTCAATGGAAGCGCAAGGCATTGAATTGGTGATGTTGAATGAAAGCGAATATTTGCATATACAAAATGCATTCGCGGAACGTTTCAATTCGTCGAATCAAAATTCGATACTACGAGCCAGACAGGCCGTTGCATTTATCAATGAGTACACCGTTGAGGATATGTTGGTTCGTTTTTGTATTATTTATGATTATTTTGATAAACCGAATTCAAATATCATTTTGAGTATTTGTAGCATTTATTCAACGTTAGAGAAAATTTTTGTGCGTTAAAATCATATTAGAGAATAATTTAGTGGAAAATCATTTTGAGTATTTGTAGCATTTATTTGCTGTTTATTCCTCTGTCATCATTCTATCGATTGTCTATTATCAGTGATCTGTTGTCTCGTCTCATATCTGATTGTCTTTCTG